CAGGGTTCGAAATTTACTCTTATTTACACGCAATTTGCGTCAGGATTTTGAGATTTGCGTTTTGATATGGGTTCCAAAACGAAAATACTTGCGTCTGGTATTTTACTGCAGCATGTGTGTATAAATTGTGTCAATATTTCCGGATCATCGATCTATTTGTAACAAGTGCCGGTCTATGGTCAGGACCCGTCGATGTGCCGATCAAAACATAATCTGTAAGTTGTACACATGTGTGCGTGTCTAAATATAGCACAAGTACTAAGTCTCGTTTAGTCTCGGCAATAACGAGAGTGTCGTTCGGAACATATATATGTGCAGACAGCGTTAAATGTCAAAGCTCAAACGATGATTACGGGGTTTTATAAAAGAAAATTGGAACCCGACGGCACTGAAGACACTAAAAAAGTGCATACACTAACAGAACCACCGGCGAAGACTGAAGCTCAGCCTCTCGTACAAATAAAAACCGTACAGAAATGGCAGCGTGACCTACATGACATAGGCTACATTGCCGACAAGGATAACAACACTGTCAAAATATGGTGTGAGGTGTGCCGGGATTTTCCCAAACAGTCGGACAAAACCTCATCGGTATGTGAATATAATAGTCTGAAATTGTATGTTTGTAGTTTAAAGTTCAAATAAACGCAACATTCCATTCATGATTTTGTTAATATTTAGAACTATATAAATTTGAAGCAAGTACGATTTCGTGAGGATATTAAAACGAAATCTGCACAATCTTGCTTTAAAATCAGGGGAGTCCCGCTATCTCGGTACTGACTGTGCTTTTAAAAACATTTTTTATGGAATACGCTCCCAATATACCTACATTTAATTGTATTGCTCGACCAGAAACAAATTATAAAAAACATTCCCAAACGGTTTAAATAATTGATGGGCAGAGGTACTTATATACGTTACCGGGGATGTGGTGTTTTTTCCCCTTCAATTTATATATTTGTTGATTTATGTAAATTACAATTAAATTACAGTTTGTTACAATTTATTATAATTGAGCAATAAAGTTGAAATGAGTTAAATAATTGAATTTGATTAATAAAATTGTGAAAATTTGGGTTGTCACTGATGACTGAATATTTTTAGTAAATTGTAATAAATACTATAACAAACAAAATGTGTTAATGTATTATATAAAATAATAGATATAAAGTTTAAGAGGAGTATAATATTTAATTTAAAAACCTAAGTGATCGTCATGCACATCATGAATTATGTGGAGGACAATACAAACAGAGGGGAAGATAAGGCCAAGGGTATCATTGCAAAATTGCTACAGTACAAGTTTGTATGGTATATGTACTTCATCAAGGATGTACTCTCGGAAATTACCAGAATCAGTCTGTTATTTCAGCGTGAGGACATTAACGTTACAAGTGCAGTCACGAAAGTGCGAAGTGCCCAACTGTCTCTTAGAGATATGATCGACAACCCTGGTCCAACTCTACGTGAATTTGACCAGGATGTGGTTGGAGACCAACACATGGACTATTTTAATAATCAAGTAGATAATATATCCCTGATCTTTAAACAGTGCAATCCTAGGAATTTTAATACCAATATTTTGTCAAATAAGGCATAAAGCAAGTGACTTAAACTTTGATAAATTTACTAATCACCTTAAATATATAATGTAGTAGGATTTATTAGTCTGAAATTACTTGCATCAGGAGATAATGAGCTATCACCAGAAACTAATAAATATATAATATCTAAAGTTGAGAAATTTATTGATTTAACTAATAGATTCACCTAACTCGAATTTGATAGTATATTTTTATCTAATACTTCCCGTTATATCAATCTGAATGTGTGTATGTGTGTGGGTGTGTGTGGGTGTGTGCGGGTGTTTAGAAGTATGTATGTTGCCAGTGACGCAGTACTTGTACTTGTACCATAACTAAACACATGAACTAGTCCTCCACGCCACTGGTAGAAGTGTTAGCCTTGTTATTAGTGTGTGTAGTTTAAACATTCAGCCATATCATTTATTCAAACATATATACATTATTTCCATATAAATGTCCATCTATTTCAATACGCAATTAATTATCGATAAATTTGTAAATATATCTATTATTCTTTGTAAATGTATATATGTTGTACCGTTTCAGGAGAAGACTAATATAGGCACTGCCTGTTGTCTATACAATAAAATTTGTTGAAACCAAATAGAACATGTTGTGAAAACACAGGCTTATATTTTGTGGGAACTTTGACTAAGGGTCAGAATATTCTCCAGTTCAGGATCTCCCAGAACAAAGGACTTCCATTATAAGTTTGGGAGGAATGTTGTGTCGACGGTGTTTACATTACGTCATCCGTCCCACGTCAAGTAAGGCGCAACAGACCCTGTGATGTTTGGGTGAATATACCTGTACCCCAATTCCAGACTGTACGGACGGCTTATTGTGCTCTGCATATTGTAGACATTGTAACCCATTATTCCTACAGTGTGCTCTACTTATAGTAGTGACAGTTTCTCGGTGACCTCGCATATTGATTGGTACCGTGCCAGATACTAAATTTAACTAGTAGTACTAGCGTTGAGCTATATCACTCTTGCCTGACCAGTCCTGCGTCATCGAGATATAGTCGTCAACCACGTGGCGGCTTGCAAGACCAAGACGGAAGGTAATTATAACTTCATTTCTGAGAAATAGCGCTAACAAGAATTGTTTAAGGACGGACCACGGGGGATTTGAATAGCCCACTATCTGATGATGGTGGGCTAAAATGTCACCACTAATGTTGCACGATCGTTTGTTTTGTTTAACGTCCTATTAACAGCTAAGGTCATTTAAGGACGGCCTTCCCTGTGTGCAAGATGCATGCGTGTAGTGTATGTGTGTGTATTTTGGGAGGCTGCGATATGTTCGTGTTTGTCTCCTTGTGATAGCGCGGAATTGATGTCGACTTTATAGTGCTACCTCACTGAAAAATACTGCCGAAG